GCCTACCTCATAGGCCTTGCGCTAATCTCCGAGGCGATTCGGGTCGGTGTTCAGGTTAGGGTTAGACTTGAGGGTAACGTTTGGTTTAGGGTCGGCGATAGGACACGGGAATATTATAAGGAATATTACCAGGGGGGATGTTTCTAATCCCGTCTTTTACCGAAAACTGTCTTAAAATGTTTTATGTGTTTCGGGTGCGTGGTGCAGGTATGATCTCAGCGCGTGGAATCTTTCATCTGGTTCTTTGCTTTTCATTCTCTCTCTCTGTAAAACTGAAAGCTGAAACTCAGCAACCTCAGTTCGACTGAGCTTCTCATGAAGATGGACAGGCTGCGTGAGACACGAACGGATCAGAAAAACTCTCTCAGACGCATCAGTCGCCGACGGCATGTCAGGTTGGTGGTACACCGCCTTTACAATCGTGATCAAACTCGCTCGCCGCCGCAAGACCACACCGCTACCGCCCACGCACCAGTCTCCCCCCTGGCGTAATTGTTGGCGCAACTGTCGGCTCCACACTGATGGACTATTTCTCCTTCACTGATTGGTTCAAACAAACATCGTGTGTCCTGCCACCCATTGATGCGCTCACTGGATAAATAAAGTGAATATGTTTACCATTTGTCCCGAGAAGTGGACTCTGAAATAATAAGCTCAGAAACCTTAGTCATTCCGCGAGGCAAATGCGTAGACTGACCGGACGGAGTAGACAATTTTATAATTGCAGAAGATGAGCGGGATTTTATGCGCTGACCCTCCCTAGCCAATGCAACCCATGCGATGAGGCTACTGACAACGCTTAACAGCAATGAAATAAGCCCTACCTCCATGTGTTCGTGTATGTACGCGTACACCAAAACACACCAATTGCGTCTTCGTACATGATATGGATCGATCCTAATCACTGCAAATATCTGACCTGGGCCCCATTAGGAGGAGGAGGAGGGGGAGGAGGAGGAGGAGGAGGACTCCAGAAGAGGGAGGATTACATTCTGCACGTGTAAGATGAAGACAAGCTGCGACAGGCAGCCAGCAACCTACTTTGGCTATGATAGTGTGTTCGTGTCCATTGTGCCGTGGAAGCAGCAGCTACGGTTGTCGCTCAGTGAGTTCATAGGGTCCGAAGGCGACCGACGAGGCCGGTCCGCGAGGGAAATGTTCGTTGACAGCGCGGACATGTTGGGTGGGGTTGAGTGACAATGTTTCGGTTCAGGGGCGCTGCAGACTTGCAAGTTTCTCTCTCGGTTTTGGCGGCGACGATCCTATTAGTTTCTTTTGTTGCTGCGCCAGTCTTCACTGCTTTTCACCAGACCGGTCTGTTCTGGGCGAGGCCCTCCCAGGCCTCTGAGTTCATCTACTGTCGCTTAAGAGTGTCCGTGTGGCGTCGTTTTTGTCCTTCTGTCGGCGAGCAGCCTTGGCGACATTTGCCAAGAAGAGTCGTTTGGGTAATCGTTCATCGTCCACCCTCATCAGGTGGTCGTTCTATCGCAGTTTCAGCTTCCTCAGCATGACGTGTATGCTGAGGCTTCCGTGTCGGAGGTCCTGTCCCGATCTCTCAGCTCCAGTATTCTGCGGAGGCTGTTGAGATAGAAGTGCATGAGCATCCAGACATGGCTGGAGTATACAGTCCAGGTCTCCGCGCCATAGAGCAGCGTCGTAAAAACGACGGCCTTGTGCATCTCGAGTTTGCTGTTCAGTTGAAGACTCTGGCGATTCCTCACGGAGGCTTCCTGCCGGCCGAGGGCCTGGCTGGCTTTGGAGATCCGGTAGGCAACCTCGCCTTTGATTTTGATGCAGGGTGGGCGTGCTTCCCAGATAGGCGAATTCGTCCACGGTTATAAGTTGACTGCAGTTGACATTGATTCGAGGAGTGCTGTATTACGTGTTTGGTGACGGCTGGTGCAGAACAACCGTTTTGTCCGCGTTGATGTTCAGTCGAAGTTGGCACAGCCGGCGCTGAAGAGGTTCGTGCTCCTTTGCATGTCCTCTTCATTCTTGGTGTTGAGCGCGCGTTCGTCGGCTAAGAACAGGTCGCGGACTGTGGTCGTAGATGGCCGCGTTGAAGCCTGTATGCGCCTGCCGATGAGAAGATGCTCGTTAGCTCTGTAGGCGATGCGTATACCAGACCCCTCATCACGGTGGAAATCCATCGGCATAGCAGAGAACATGAGTCTGAAGAGGGTGGGAGGGAGTACGCAGCCGTGCTTCATAGCATTGGTCACTGCGAATGCCTCGGAGATGGCCCTGTTTCCTTGACGCACACCATCATCCCGTCGTGGAGCTGACGTACCATGCACGTGGGTCGCCGCTCAGGACAGCCGAATATCTGCATGGTTTTCCCCAGTCCCTCGCGACTGGTCGCGTCGAAGGCTTTCGTTAAGTCCACGAATGTAGCGTAAAAGTGGGTTCGCACCTCCTGACACTTCTCCTGTAATTGGCGAGCGACGAATACTATGTCGGTGGTCCCGCGCTGTCGTCGGAAGCTACTTTGGCTCTTTGGCATTAGTCCTGGCCCGAGGAGGCCGTTGAGACGATTGAGGCGAAGGTGAGCGAAGATCTTTCCGATGACGTTGGCTAATGAGATGCCCCTGTGGAATAGCCTAGTAATGTTTGTTCCACCAGCAAGCAGTACTACTAGTAGTATAGGTTGATATGACAGACGGTTATACCGAGCTCTGGGCAAAGGTATTAGTTCACATACCAGAAACCGAATATAGAACACTGGGGGTCCGACTGAGGAGCCGAATCCCTGGCAGCTGCGTCATGTTGCGACGAAATACGTGTCCGGGCTAGTAGCTAATGCCTATGTCGGGAGTTCACTATAGCCAGTTCTCACATAAAATTGCACTACAACTAGTGCTACTTATTTGTAGAATGGGCATTACTTAGTTATTCCACAGTATTGGATTGTCTTTGACTCAAATGTTCATCGATATTAGGGGTCTGATCCTAAAAGGTCCTGTGCCGTACATTTCACTTAACAATCTCTGAAATTATTATCCTAATATATTTATTTATTTGGTCGGGCACAGGAATATGTATAAAGCCTTATTAGTACTATAGGTGGCCTCACGCTGAATTTGGGAAATCCTGTTTCCTTGTCCAGACTTCAAACCTATCACTAGCCCTAACCTTACCCTTAGCAGTCCTAACCCTAACACTGATCCTAACCCTGACTCTAACCACGCTGGATTTTAGGGCAGAACCACTTGTGCTACGGGAGGTTCATATTTTATTTAATGACAGGTACGCTAAGTAAAAAGTATCAAAACTCTACGGCTCTAAAATGTGGGTTCAGTAACTTGCACAAATCTTTCTTTTCCTTCAGAAGTGTTCGAATTGTAGACACTTGTAACTGTGAGGTGCGCGCTCTGCTGGCAACAGAATCAGGAGGCATCTGTGACCGCTTTCCATTGGGAATTGTCGCAATTTCCCCCACAGATGACTGCAAAGAAGACGAGCTGAAAAGAGAGGAGATTTGACAACTAGGCCTGAAACCTTTTCGGCGCATTGGGGTGGTGTCAGAAAGCAGGATATTTGGGACAACGCTCCGCCACCTGATTGGGTAACGGAGAGTGTATCTAACCAGGGGTAGAATGTCGCACTAAAAGGAGGGAGTGTTCGGGCGCAGGAATCGTTTAATTGCCGATAGAAGCGAAGATGCGAGTTCAAGGAACTAGTTGATCAGAAGAAGAAAAAGCGATCGCTGGAACAAGGACTTTATTCGCCTGACGTTTCAGATTCTCACTTGAACCCATCATCAGAGACAGTGGCAGAAAAGGGTGACTCATGCACAGGAAGTTGCAGCATTTATAGGATGCAGTCGCTCTGCTACCGCATACGTATAGCAATTAACCGCGCTCCCCTTAATCAAGGATTGTTGCCCGCTGGTGGCCGGGCAATCATCACGCCAGCGGGCAACAATCCTTGATTAAGGGGAGCGCGGTTAACTGCAATAGGTATTCGGTAACATAGCGACTGCATCCTATAAATACTACAACTTCCTGTGCAGGAGTCACCCTTTTCTGCCACTGTCTCTGATGATGGGTTCAAGTGAGAATCTGAAACGTCAGGCGAATAAAGTCCTTGTTCCAGCGATCGCTTCTTCTTCTGATCAATCGTTTAATTATCATCTTTGCGACAGCTGCTGCAAGACGAGCGGCAGTTATAGAATAACTTTTAACCAGTTAATGGAAAGCGTTGCACGTTTGGAAGTTAGTCTAAGGTTGTTTTGTATGTGGAGTCAGGCTACACTGTCTCCATCTTAATGTGACCTTTATGGCACTCCTACTCCGTGGGATCTGAGTCAGGTGGGACGGCACTCCGAGGTGCGGCTTCGGCCGCACCAGCCTCTTTTGCTGTTTTAAAATCCTGGTCATTTGCTGCGAGGACCAGGGGGTGTGGAGTAGAACGCCAAGGTACGGGCTCGACCGTGCCATCCACCTGCGCCCTACCCCGCCTCCGGTCTTCTTGACACTGTCTTGACACCGGGTCCAGATGGGGAATGGGGAAGAGAGAGTGCGGTAAATACTGCTAAAGTCTACTATCACTTCAAACTAATGCACACGCAAGTCACCGTCCTTACTCTCACCTTGTTGTGGAGCACACGGTGGACATCGTCGAGCTTGGTGGTCGAACTTTCGTATAGCACCCGGTAAGGTTAGCTCGTATGGATGAGCTGGTGGGGGAGGCAAACGACTTTTACGCAGCGGGATCTTGAATAAATACTTGCTCGGATCCGGTGGTAAGGGTCCGACTTTTAATGCCAGTCATGTGTGCTTTTGAGAAAGATATTGGATATTTGGGACAACGCTCCGGCACCTGATCAGGTAACGGAAAGTGTACTTAACCAGGGGTAGAATATCACAGTAAAAGGAGGGAGCGTTCGGGCGCAGAAATCGTTTAAGTATCATCTTTGCGAGTCTTTGAAGAGCGACAGCTGCAGCAAGACGAGCGGCAGTTATAGAATAACTTTTCATAAATTAATGGAAAGCGTTACAGGGCTACATGCTAGTCTACAGTGTTTTGTATGCGGAGTCGAACTGCAATGGCTCTTTCCTAATGTGGCCTTTATAGAATTCCCATTCCTTGGGATCCGAGCCGGGGTGACGACATACCTAGGTGCGGCTTCGGCCACATCAGCCCCTTTTGTTCTTTGCTACAAGGTGCGGGCTCTACCGTGCCATCCTCCTGCGCCCTATCCCGCCTCAGGTCTTCTTGACTCTGTCCTGCCACAGTGTCCAGCTGGGGGAGGAGGATGAGGATCGAGTGCGGTAGATGCTGTGCAAGTCTACATTCACTATAAACTAATTCACCCACAAGTCACCGTCCCTGCTCTTACTTGGCTGTGAAGCATACGGTGGGCATTGTCGGCAGCGACGGTCGAACTGTCGTACGCGGACGCAGGATATGAACGTCCAGTAGTTAAAGTTCAGGCCTCAACCAACTCTCGGGTTAGACTCGCTGCCTGTGAAAGTGGACTCATGACCCTTTTCGTAGGTAGATGCAACCATTTTCGGCGACCGGTTGCTTGTGAGAACTGAAACAGTACGTCCAGCAACGAGGTACCTACCCCAGTTACATTTCGCGAAGTGGATCATATGCCCTGAGGTAACTGAAGAAGGATGAGAAAATTGGCATCCTGGTCACCGATGAAGGCGGGAACAAAAGCTGCCTGTGTAGCGTAGGAGGAGGCTCTTTTGTTGGAACAGGGCCGTTTATCGACTTGACGTTTCGGATTTTACGCTTGAAGTCATCAACAGAGATCAGCAGATAAAGGTAGCAGGCGTACAGGAGATGCGCTATTTAGAGGATGCAGTTGCTACAGTATCGGACGCCTGCTAAAATGAGCACCCCTGTATTCATCATAGATGCTCCTACCGCGCTTCAGTAGTAGCCGCCCACGCAGCTATCAATGCAGTTGAGTAAGGGCGCTTTACCGACGGCTTGAGAAGCATTGCAGTGGGCCGACATTCAAGGTTGCAATGACATAATCCTTCGACGAGGGCTCAGCGTGAAGAGACAAGACGGGTGACTAAACCGCGTGGACTTCAACTTTCGGCCGGCTTGTCCATACGTCGAAAACGTCTCAGACGCCGTCATCCGCCTTGCGAAACTGGAGATGCACATCGATAGCAGACAAGCGTCAGAAGCTAGGTACTGGGACTAGGAGATCCATTACCACAATAAGAGACGTTTCGGGTCGTTTCCGGGATCTGGTGCAGCTGTGGGTAAGATAACTACGTCAGAGGAACTGGAAAATTACTCCGGAAGCCGATGGCCGAACAGTCATAAGAAGTGAGGAAGACTGACGACAATATAATATGTTCTGCCATATAGTATGGATGTTTCAGAGGCGACTGAATGGGCTGTCGTGGGAGCAAGTGTTGGGATATCACAGAAACAAAAAATACCATGCACATTTGCCTTATGACGGCCAGGAATCGATTAAACCTCCCTGAGACCTCAGGCGTCGCATTCCCTCGCCTAAATCATCATGTAATTACCTGTCGGGCGAAAGCTGTGTGGCAGGGCGACTAGTTATCAGAGGTTGCTGTCCTCACTATTAAAACGAGTCAGTTTCTTCAGTAGTTGCCCTAATTTTTTACGTTGGGAGCAAGACAAACAGGAGGGGGGAGGGGGTTGAATGAAACCTGGACTTCTGATAGAAGCTCAAGCAACCGGCCTACTGGGTCGTGCGGTCTGTGCAGTCAAATGTGGATGGTGCTTTAAGATTTATCAACCGCTGCATCCGCGCCCGTTTCACCATCAAACTATGGTGAATGTGGTAGGAGGGTATGGCGTACATGCGCCGAAAGTCTGGGTCACTAAAAGAAGAATTAAGCGTACATCGCTCCCCCTGTGCCTACCTTACGCAGAATCGGTGGACCCTGTCGTGCGCAAAGGTCAAACTCTCCTAGTTAACGGACGGTAGGAACTGAAACGCAGCTTCTGCTTTGGTAGGTGACGCACTTGTGTATAAATGTGGACACATTTCGGAGGAGACAGGAAAAATGTCAGATTAGTTGCTGAAGCCACCTGGGCTTTGTCTGGATAGTTCTACTGCTCCCTCCGTTGGGCCTTGGGGCTCAGTCTGGAACCCTGGCATGACGACTAGAGTTAATACAGGAACGAATGTCAAAAAAGACAAGGGAAACTGGGATGGCAACTTCCGGCTCATTGGCCATCGTCACTTGTTTTACTGAACTCCAGGTTTGTAGGACCTGAGATTCGGATTCGGGTTCTTTTAGTCACTGAGCGTCTTTAATTTCAACGCCCAACCACCGAGTCAGAGGCCGTCGTCAGGTTTTCCAACAACAGCTCTTTTCCTCCTATAATGTTAGTCCAGTCATATTCATTTTGTTTATTCGATAATGGCATTTGTTCACTGCTCGCTCATAATTCTTCGTAACGGACTACTTATTCAATAACTATGAATTAAGCGTTGTATAGATTCTGTCTACCTATTCTAATGTTCATATTAAAACTTATTCTTACTTGCTATGGCATGTCCCCCCACGGGACATGAGCAAAAAGTATTTATTTATGTTAATTTTTTCCTGTCCGTTTACTTTTCCTGGCTCTCCATCCAAAACAAGATATTTTTGCTTAGCGGGTAATTAAGATGACTCAGTGAGACCCCCTAATGGACTGCTTTACGAGCTACTATAAAAAACATCCACTTGCGAGCACTACGATCAGTTTAAAGAGTCTCCTTTAAGTCAACATTCTGAGGTTACATGGCCGCTGCAGGCTGGGTGGTGCTTAAACCACCTGTGTTCAATAGAAGAGAAGAGACGAGTCCCAGGAAGTAGTCTTGAAGAAGGAGACATGAGCGATCGTGTCTCCTTCTTCAAAACCTGTGTTCGTCCGTCTGCAGACCGAAATTGACCAAACATTAGGCAGATTTAAGCTTTTGGATGACGACATCTTGGCACATTCTAAAAAACCGTTTTTTATTTCACTAAAATAGTACCAACGCAACCGTTAGGACTAAAACACAGCTATGATTATCGCAGTTTTTGATGTCATCTCCTCATTTCGACCCCAAGCAATCTGTTGACGATCAAGGCGGACTCTTCTGCTTTCGCAATTTGCTAGTAGTTTGGTCGATCAACAAGAAAGTGTCATGGTCGCATCCCCCTGCGCCTTTGTGACCGCCGCAGCCTTTTATGTCGCCTCCTCGGCTGGACTCTAAGCAGACTTTGACCGATCGCGTTTGGATTCCTCTCGTCTCGCCACCTTAACGGTTACTTCTGTTGCCAACACAAAATATTATGATCGCATCTACAGCGAATAGCCTGATCTCGTTTAGGAAATCTGCCTTGTCGATGTTCGTTTCGAAGCCTTATATACTCCCACGCGCAGGGCGGTCCCGTCCGGCCCGCATATTTACCTTCCCATGAGTGACAGGCGTGAGGGCAGCATGGTGGCATTCCGGTCAATGGTTGTTGAACCGGAGAGGTCTGTTAGATCGCAGGTGGCAGGGAAGGCCTTGTGATCGCGCTCACGAGAACGTGATGGATAGCCCTCGTCCTCCGAGGACGTGGATGGGTCGTTCAGAGCTGTTGAAGACTTTCAGGACTTTAAGTTACGTTTCGGTTGAGTTCGTTTGGATGGTTTCACGACACCTGCAAAGAGGAAAGACCTTGGTTTAAAACATTCGCAGTTGTATTAAATGCTAACCTCTCATATGAGGGTGGCATTCCCCGAAGGCTGCTCGTTAGTTACTATCATTTCCTAAGCCCAGGGATATTTTTACTTGACGTCCTAGATGTGATAGGCTGAATTCTAAAGCGCGCTGCCAAATTAAAAGAAAAAGTACTTAAGGGATGTTGAAAAATTGATAATTACGGAGTATAAAACCGAGTGAAATCACAGACAGTGATTAACCAGTTTTTGCCTGAGAACGGCCCCGACCCCCAAAATAATTCCACTTGGCAGAATTCGCTAGTTACGAAGTTCTCTTTAACTATTTCACGTCAGAGGGGTTAGTGAGGAATAATTAACAAGACAGTTAATTCCTTATCAAGCGTTTTACACGGCAAATATTCTCGCAAGGACAGGCCTAAAAAAGGAATAGCTCGGTTTGAAAACCTGGCATACTTTGAAATTTTCATGATCTCTCTTCAAATACATGGAGGTCGCCGGCCATTATTGGAAAAAAACACCAGCTGTCCGGGACACTTTTTCGATATTTATGAGATTTCAGATGCCATAACTTTTTGAAAGGAGTTATGCAGGCGTCTCCAGGGCGCATACACAGTAGTAAAGTAGTTCTATCAACATGTAGAAGGGCAGTTTGTTTCAAAAACTACGAGTACCAGACTTGGAGTCCGTGGAATCCCTAGTGCTCAAATGGACAAGTCTGTCGAGGTAGGATGGTAGGCGACTCGAAGGCTCCCAAATCATAAGGCCTTTAAAAAACTTATCAAACCACATTCATTTCGCCTTTTCTCAAAAAAATTGAAAAGCTTTTTCACTGTTTGTTATCCGTTATTCACAGCAACTTGCCTTTTTTATAAGTACGAGCTGAACACTGTACAATGCTTGCCTACTCTTCCTGAAATGTCCTCCAAAATGTATTTTTCAATTATCATGATAGTTACCCTGTGGGTGCTACGTAAAACAAGGTATTTATTTATTATTCAAAATCCTATCGAAGATACTAAACGCAGTCCCCTTCCTCCAATTGATAACAGTCATCTCTTGGCACTATTTCCTCAGACGAATGAGAAGGTAGTTGAGCCCATTCCCCAATAACCTCCTGCTCCCAACAACGGATACCACCAACCGCTGGCAGTGAAGCCAGGGAGCCAGTAAAGCGGAGTCGGAGTTGGAATTCAGAAGAATTATTGGCTTGTGTCAAATCCCAAACACACTGAAACCGCCGAATGAAAGCTATGGTCATAAGGCAGCTAGCCGCCACCGATTCATGCGCCCAACGGTAGCCCGTCGCCCAGACCTCAAATAAGCAATCGGCTATAATTGTAACAACCGCAATAATTCATCCCACAGGGAAATTAGTGTGTAAAAGTGAAACGGGAAGGAGTTGCGCCCGCATGTCATCTTTCGACAGCGCACAGGCCGGACGAAAATCGGACGACGAAAAAGTGAGACTCGACAACTGAGCGCCAGTACAATCAACCGCCAAATCGACTTATCCGCACTGTCCGACACGCCCTCGTTGCCATGTAACGACCAACCAGAGATCAGCATAGGAAGTTGGTACAAGCCATGCACTATTACCCCTTCCTTTTTGCTACCGCACTTTTGAGTACAAGCGTCGCACTTTCAAGGAAAACACTAATCTCGTGGCGATCGACTTTTGCATCGAACCAGGCCGCTGAGGACTCCCGAGACTTGAGGTGTATAAAATAAATGTCGGAAACTGCCTGAGCCAGCGGTTGCTCCCCCCTCCCCCCCGTACATGTTGAGGTCCACACGGCTGCTAAACGACAAGTTACAGACTTGGAGTCCATGGAATCACTAGTGCTTAAATGGACAAGTCTATCGAGGTAGGATGGTAGACGACTCAAAGGCTCCCAAATCATAAGGCAGAGAAGTAAGTTAGGTTGACAACCTTTTACTGAGGCCGAAAGTCTACACACAGCACCGCAAGCGGTTACAGCTAGCGTTCTCATCAGGCAAATGTCAGCCGAAGTGCATTCGCCCGAACTTCGTCCGGCTGCAGTCAATCGGCGGGATTCAGAGCGGACATCGTCAGGGCAGAATTAATATGCTGGATGAGACTATTCGCGTCAAAGAGGCCAGACGAGAGGAACCCAGACGCGATCGGCCACGGTACGCTTCGAGCCCAGCCGAGGAGTGGGGAAGGGAGGTACGACCAAAATACTAGTAGACGGCGAATACTGAGGGTTCCGCCGTGAGCGTCGACGGACAGCTTGAGGTCGAAATTAGGGAGATGCCATCAAGAACCGCGAAAATCGTCGCTATGGGGGAGGACTGATAGCCGTGGATTCATAAACCAATTCGAAACAGGGTTTGTAAAGATATAAGTGAGGGTTTCCACTTGATCTATTACTAAATCCCAGCAGGACTCTTCTCGAAGTCAAGAAGCTGAGTGTTCGGGAATGAGACGGTTAAAATTGCCCTTATACTTTCCGGTGTAAGGTGTTTGCGTAATTTCGACTTGAATACCAATTGTAAAAGCAATTGAATATTCAATTGTAATTTGAATTGTTGAGAAATAGTTGCCCTAACTCCTAACCCTAACCCTAACCTCTAACCCTAACCTCCAACTCTAACCCCTAACCATAACCCAAACCCCAACCCCAACAGTATTGTGTCCATCAGGTGGGACTACATAACCACATCTTACCGTGTTGGAGTTATGGGCGTTAGTGTTAGGCTTCGGTATTTGCGTTAGGACAGAGGGATAGGCAATGCTTTGGAATTTAGCGTAAGACCACCTGTAGTACGGGGATCCTTATTACTTGGTCCAACCCCGTCCGTGCACTAAAAGACTGTACTGACTGTACAGTGGTCCACAAGCAGCATCCTACACGGCTCCATTTTCCAGTCGAATGAAAAACACTGCAGACTCATATTGTCAAGCAGTCGGTATGGTGCATCAGCAACTGACCATCTGGTAGCCAGGATTGTTCATAAAAATCGGACAGACTCTCCTGACCCAAAACGTCAGACAGAAAGCATTGAGAAACAGCTAAGGCAGTTTAAAGAACTGGCCTACGGAGATTCAGCGTGTCCATGATGTTGCCCTGGCCCTACGACGCTGTATTACACTCTTTTTCATAACTTGGAGGTTTTAGCTTCAACGAAACACCGTGAGAGTTAGCAGTCTCATACACTGCACTTGAGCTCTGGGTAGTTAATTAGTACATTCGGCAAGACAGGAAATGGCGCTTGCCCCCCCCCGTCCCCCGCAATACGGCAGTTCGACACTCGTTGCCGATGATGTCCAGAGTGTGCTCCAAAACAAGGTGGGAGCAGGAACGGTGACTGGGCGTTGATTAGTTTATAATGATAGTAGACTTGCACAGAATCTACCGCATTCTCTACCTCTCTCTCACCTGGGCCCGGTGTCAAGACAGAGTCAAGAAGACCGGAGGTGGGGGAGGGCGCCGATGGATGGCGCGGTCGAGCTCGTACCTTGGTGTTCTACTCCGCACACCCTAGTCCTCACAACAAATGACCGGGATTTTGACAAATAATAATAATGGGGAACGGCAGGGGTCCCAATGTGCGCGATGTACCCCGGCAACTGGGCCTGTCACTGCACCCCCAAAATGTTGGCATTTGCTATGATGCGTATTCCGATAATGCCCGTCAGAATCCGACATGGCCTCCGTGTTGGTCCAGCGCATCTAGCAGTGGTCCGTTAGGGACACACCCCCGCAATGCACCAGTCTAAACACAAACCTTGCCCCAAACCTTAATCCTACCTTAACCGTATCACTAACCTTGACTGCAACGCCAACCTTAACCCTAACCCCAATATTCTTTTCAAGCCCATTTTCAATAGGATTTAGGCAAGGCAGCCCGTACTAAGGGGGGTTCCTATTTCTATGTGCTACCGTAGGTCCTTTACACCGCACATTTTGCGTTCACGAACAACAGCCAGCTTGCAGACGACGTGATTATACCGCACCCGTTAGGGCTCCCTTTCTAGCCACGTCCACCCAGGACGAGGTAGGTATTTGCACTCCGAAACAGGGTTGCCCTGTCGTTCCAAGTTGCTGCAAAGACCAACTGTAGGTTACGATTTTGGTTTTTAATGTGGAGTCCATCCGAATTAGCCTGTACCGACTACGGAGCCGCCGTTGCTTCCTCTGTGTGGAACAGGGAGGAAACTACCGGGTGTGGAGAAACACAGCACCCGATACCCTCTTCTACTCTACCCCTGGTCAAAGCGGTTACTGGTGTGACCGCTAAGCAGAGCATGGCTGCGGCGAGCCACAGATGAGAACTGTGTGCCAGTTAAGAGACGTGCTGGGCAACTACCTAGTGCACCGGACTCATGAAACGACCTGTCACTCCTGTCCAGTGTATTCCCCCCACCGAACACCACCTAAACACCAGTGGCCTACAAAAGACCGAAATGCAGCGAACTAGAAACGACGTACGCACTTGAACTTGATTCCAAACGGGTGAAAAGCTCACTTGTTGACTCCAGTTTCCATGCTGGCCTTTTTAGTTTCTTTGGAAATTAATGCGCGAACTAGAAGCAAATCCTTCGAAATAAAGCTTTTTAGGCTGGTTCTGGAGACTGAAGACCGGAAATAACTTCCGAGGAGGTTGAAAAGGGCAGCATGTAAGCCGTAGTCCATATCCCAGAAAGGACACGGGGAACAATATGGGATACACAGATGGGCCGAACCCCTCGCAGCTACGTCCTGCGGCTCAACACGCGTGTCCGGGCCTTTAGCTGGTACCTGTGCTGTGAGCATGGTAAATCATTCAGCATTTGTATACTACTGACTTCCTATTGGCAGCTTGTGAATACTACGCTGCTACTCCGCAGTAACTGATGGATTTCAGCCCAAATATTCGTACCAACTTTTGAGTCCGCGGGATTCACTCCAAGTTCTCGCATCCATTTCCGAAGGAATCAAGAAGGGCAGCATTACTGTTAAAGTGTGCCCATGCTCTGCCGGGCAGTGAGTCTAGTTTTGCATGCGAGGACCTGATGCTCGGTAGTTAATGTAGCAGTGACGACCTCAACCGTAAGCATAACTCAAGCCCGCTGGTGGTTCTCAGACGTTAGCACATCTCATACGCAGGAGATTCCAGTCTTTCTGACAGTGTCCCACACACCCATTATCACGGTCGCCAACAAATTTTCAGGCAGTTTCAGGTAGAATGCTACTCAACATCAAACGCATCTAGTTAAACCATGACATACGAAATTGGCACTACAATGTCCGGGGAAAATTGATCATCTGAAGAGTTACCGGTCAACGGTTGTTATGTAGCCAAACCTGAGGTAAGCAAACCCCAGCCGCCTGTAATAATGAAAGGGGTTTTTACATGTACGGGCGGAGAACGCACAGGCGATGAGCTCAGGTACAGTTAGTGACATAGCTCATGAAATGTGTCGAAATTTACGAATGATTGCCAATCACTCACAAACCGACACCATTTCATGAGTCCGATTTCTATGTTAATTAAGCACGAGTTTAAAAGAATTAAAAACATAAAAGAAATATTAAAGGCAGTATTGCGTTGTTTAGAAATGCCGATTTATTTTGAGAAGCGCAATATTCCGAAAATGTCAGAAATGACTCTAATTAAGTAAAGTTCGTTTTTGGATGTATAGAATGTATTTTCATACCAAAAACGTAGTAAATAGGAAAGTAGACAAAAAAAATAACGACTAATAACAGTGTTTTAGCGAAGTTTACATCTAAATATCGTTTAATAAGTACTGTGATTTCATATATGACGGATTGTCAACTGCCTACATTCTGAGTGTAGATTCCAAAACAGTATTCCTGTGATTCCTGTTTTTTAATTTGTTTGAAGTAGATGAGATGGGGCTCAACAAGAGAAGCTAGATTATGCTTGATTTCACTGATGGGGGCGTCTCAGGAACAAAAGTTTTCATAAGGTGACATGCCATGAGGGCGGTCGGTGCCAAATAAATTTAAATAGAACTGACTGGCATGATCGTTAACATACCATTTGGTGTTTATAGCGAGATTTTTTTCTTCGGTCAAATTAATTTACACTTCTCGTCCGTTTAGGTTTACGTTGAGTTTCAGATCGGCCTCGAAATGTTGCTGAATACATCATGATTTTCAGTGTTTTCACCCGATCGTCCATAAAGACAGATTCTGAATTACCTGTCTGTTAAGAACTTTAAAATAAGATTATTCTTAAAGGCATTTACCGAATTAATGAGTGTTCGGGCGCTCCTTTTCACGAAGATGGTCGTTTGGGTCACAAGTGGATACTACTTCAAACATCAAATTTCATTTTCGAGAAAAATGTCTGTCCACAACGACGGTCAGCAACGAATATGCCTTTGATCAATAAAAAAAAACTTTGCTCAATAAGTTACCTCTTTAAGAAGTGCTTTATTACTGCACTCCGTTGACGGATCTCTGTGTACTTTGCAGTTTTGCACGGTAAGGCCAAGCAAAAATTTGGCACTTTTGGCCGTTTCTTTCACGTTCCTAAGCAATACTAATATTTTCTACCGTAAACGCAAGAACATGCCCTTGTCTATACATTGAGGCCATTTCCACTGCCTTTGCTAGCTTTTAGACTCCGTTCTTCGATTGTGAATGCACGGCAGAGCGCCCATATAAATATTGTTATTTTGATGAAACTAGTAATGTTTTGCTCTTTCTATTTCTGAATACAGAATGCGCAGAAGCTAAAATACACGACAAGTAGTGTTTCATATGTGTAAAGCTGGAAATGACCATTCCGTGGTGGTCATTTATGTGACAACAGGTAGAATTTTCCAAACGGCAAAAAAACTTTCAGCCCACTTAAACGAAGGAATCCCTATCTGCATTATTACTGCACTTTTGGGCACCAAATCCCACATATCTCCTAATTTGACATTTGGGAATTGATAAAATGTCTGATTTTCTTTAAATAACCTTTGTGTTAACAGGTTGATCATCATGGTTAACATCGGACATAAAATAAATTTTCAAGTTCGGCTAAATCTCGCGGGTAAATTACTATCCTTTCAATGAAAAAATCGCTCAGATGCGTAACCAAAGTCTAGGACATGTAGTAAAATTGCACAAATATATTTCAACGTCCATGTTCGTTAAAATTTACTGATATTTTTCTTGATATAATTACCTAAACACTATTTCTGAACAAGAAAAGACATTTCATTGAAGGATGTGGGTGGGCGAAGAGATGCGCCACGTTAAAGGCGTCCGGAAATTCTCTTATCAGTTTCAGTTATCAGATTTCATGAGATAGGTCACGTACTCTATTTGTATGCGAAATAAAAGTTATTGGGAATGCACAGTTGTACTTTAAGTGATTGAGAAATAGTTGTCTTAACCCTAACCCTAACCAACCCCTAAGTCTAACCCTAACCCTTAACCGCAACCCTAAACCCTAGCCCTGAAACATCCAACGCGAAAGTTAGAAAGAGACGACAGGCCGAAAGTCAAGAAGGACCACCGGCATTGGACCGAAAAAGGTACACACGGCAACAAAGAAACAAGGCTGCCAACAGAACACACACCGCAACACACAGAAACACCATGCCAACGTAATCACACTAAATCAAAATAATTACAGTACCTGTGCTAACATGAAATGTCATGAATTAACACAGGTAAACGACTTTAACGCAGAATCGGTAAACACTACGGCTCCCAAAGTCTGATAGCGGAAAATAAAAGATGTGTCAAAGAAATAAAGCAAAGTTTGGTTTAGAAAATATTATTTACTGAGATAAAAATAAATAATTTTCGACAGAAGTCACATTTTCGAGAAACGCCTATATTACAACCACGTTAATAAAGGCTACGTATGAGGGCGTATAAAGGAGGAGGGCGCATAAAAGAGCAAAAATAATTAAGGACAGAAACAGATACAAAAAATCAGTACTTTGTTGACTGTCCATTTGAATTAATAACGGCAGAAAGTCATGACGAGGTTGTCTATGGTAGATTGTAAAATGTAATTATTGAGTATGAAATCCAATTTGTCCTGCATTGAAAGAGTCTTCTTAGCTTTGTGCCAATTTCTTTTGACTATTCCAAAAAGATTTTCGATAGGATTCAAATCGGGACTGTTGGCCGGGATGACAATGGATTGGAGGCCGATTGCGGAGAGGGTGGTTGTTGTCTAAAATGTTAGATTATATTTGCAAGCGGCATCAAATTCGTACCTCTTTAGAGCGGTGGACAGGTGCATTGTCGTGCAAAATTACAGTATCCATTCGGCGCCGACTAATGCCGTTGTAACCGAAAGCATCCTCGACAATTGCAATAAACACCTTGCTGTTGATGGTGTCGGATGTTGACCGCCAGACAGGCCGCTCACCGAATTTAATCGCCATCCAAACCATCATCCGCCGACAGGTCTTGAATGTTACCGTCGGTGTAGTACGTTCTCTCGGGAAGTTCTTTCCACATATGACGGTTTGGAGAGATTTCGTAGGCTTGTCTGAAAATAAAACCTCATCGCAGAAGAAAATGCCCTTCCAAAATGAAGACCTGTAATCAATATAATTCTTAGCAAATAAAAGCCGTTCTCTAATTAGTTTTCTACTTAAAAATGGCTTAATCATGGCCTTCCGCCGCTGCAGTTCAGATTCCTTCATCCTTTTCCTAATGATGTTCATAGAGCACATCGGGAGATGTTCCCACTGAATGGTCTCAATGGGCATGTAATGAAACTTTTTTAATGTACGACGAATTAAATCGTCGTCTTGCTTACTTGTGGACCGTTTTGGTCCCCCTATCTTATTTCTAGGAACAGTTTTATCATTAATAATGCGCCACAGAGTGACCTTACTAATATTGAAAATACTAGCTAAGCACTCACGCGGGATCCCCTCCGCCGCCAATTTTCGAATACGCTGGAAGTCAACTTCGGATAAGTATTGTTTAGACATAGGTATCGTTTTGCGTGACAGAGAAAGGTGACGGCATGTCGCGCGAACTCAATGCCTATTCGCCTTGCTTAATTTCCGAGGAAATTAATGCGCGAACTTGGAGTAACTCTTTCGAAACAGGCCTTTTCAGGCACGGTCCGCAGCTGCGTCAGGCAGCGGCACAAGATCGGCGAAACACGCGTGTCTGGGCTTTTAGCTAATACCTGTGTTGTTAGTACGGTAAATTATTGCTCAATGCCTATTCGTTTACGACACGTATTTTCGGTCTGGTAAAACAATCACACTGATAAACTTTTTTATTTCGGTATTTTGAAACATAAAACTTTACGGATTTGTAAAATAGAATTTTTAGATGAAGAATCGCACCTTATTTCCTGAACACAATGAGATATAATTTATCTGCATTTCCCTGATTTTCATGATATTGAAATTTAATTTTTTCTTCTTGTACGAAAATTTATTGAAAAATTTCTTCCATTTATTAATCTTCTTGAACAGATTAATAAGGTAAAACAAAAAATTTCGATCCGAAAGCTTTAATAGCGTAGGAAAGTGCTTGAATATCAGGAATCCTCCGATTTCGCCTAAATTCGGCTCGTTTTCTATTTAATATACAGATCCGTATCGGACTTTCCTTCAGCAAACGGCCTTTTCGTCCTTATTTCAACTAAATAAACACAAATAACAACACCAAAAATTCGCTACAGTTTCCACTCTAATTTTGACCTCGGCATTTCATGAGTTAGCACAGGTACTGTAAGTAGGTCAACAGCATTTTGTCCATCAGGTGCGGCCACATAACCGCATCTTACCGAATTGTCAAATAGATCCTCTCGCCAACGGTTATTTTCATCGCCTTTGGCTCCTGTGCCAGTTCAAACTTTGACGGCGGGACTCTTTTTTTTAATGTCCCCTCCCTACCCATGTGCGCTGCAACGTTACGACGCTCCCGCTGACTGGGGTTAACAACCTGGCTGATGGACAGACATTTGTGCCGAATGCGTGTCCGCGTCCGGAGGCATGGTGCACCACCCAATAGGGCTGCTGAGTCAGGCCAGGCGGCCACCGAGTTTCACTGTGGGTCACCTGACCAGAATTGACCTGGGCCGACTATCGAGTCCCCGTCGCTCCCACCCATGGTGAGGGGGACCGTTTACTTTCGACACAATTTCACGCCGACCAGAACGTCTGCCGCCATCTGGAAGTCGTTTGTTGACCATAGTTTTGAAGGTTGAACATAGAATGCTAACTTTGAGGGAAAAGCCAATGCTGCGTGTTGTGGCGTGGACATTTCTCCTGCATGCTGTATCTCCCACGAGTACCACACCCATGATCTAAATGCACGCAACACCCACACATGTAGACGGTTGTGCAGGCGTCGAAGTACCGCACTGTGACGACGTAAATCATTAAGGCCTCAGTTTCAGCTGTCGGACCTGTGCACTCAACTGGGTTGCCTGGCCTGAGAGTAGCAGTCTCCTAGAATACGGAGATGAAAACAGATTAACCTCCCAAAGGCCAGCAAATAAGTTTTCCTGCCACATTGCATGTGGAGGATTACCAGTTCGATCCTCTTGTCAATACTTAAATCCGTCGCTTTTGGTTCTTCAGCTGTTACTGTTAGGCGAGGCACTAGCATCTGGGGTTGACGGTAGCAGTTGTCAATCGCGTCGATGCAGCACTCCAGCTGAGCGGGATTAACAACCTGGTTAATGGACAGGTGGTTGTGCCCGGTGGGCGTCCGCATCAGGAGGAAGAGGCCAACCAATCCCGTTGTTGGGTTGTCATGCCTACGCCCTTCTGATTGGTCAGCGAGAAAGGTGATGAGGCTTGGCGGGACTGCGACCCTTGGTGTGCACGGCATGCCTCACCAGGCGGAGACCGGTAGCGGAAGCCGGAAGTAGGGTCACCGCAAACGTATCTGACGCTATAGGAATGGTGAAACAGCCAGTGAATTCTCGCTCGAACTGGGATACGTGGAGGTGATCCACTGCCCACTCATGTACTCCGAATACCCGCTGCAGCCGTAAATAGCTGCAATTTCCCGACCAAGTAATGCGTCATGATTCGTAATCAACCGGCGTTCTGGACTCCCAGAAAGGAGTTATCAGTGGAGGGACAGACCGTTCGACCGTCGCGAAGGACGATGTCCAGCGTGTGCAGCCGCAGTATCAGCCGCACTCTTCCCTTATTCACCTACCCGAGTTCAATGTCACAAAGACCGGAAGCGAGATCGAGCGCAGCCCGTCTGCGCGTATCATGCACGCGCCTGGTCCGGCACGGTGTACCAGGTTTTGCCCATAACAACCTAGGGGCGACGCCGGTCCCAACTGACTGGGAGTTTCGTTGAGTCCGAGATGACCTAGTTATCCCATCAGTAGACAGCCCTCCATGTTATGGTTTTCAGCGCACCGTGGTGGCAAGGAAGTGCGTTCAGTTGCCATGGCGACGCAATCCACGCAGTTGACATAACTTCATCTTCATTGCAGTCTACATTGTGAATTATTGTACTGTATTTTTATTCGAAGCATGTACTATGGCATGCCTCCTCTGTGCAACAACACTTAACCGCCGAGTCGACCTACCTTGGTCCAGACTGCCACCCATCGTCATGCCTGAACAAATAAACACTGGTCTGCTAACAGAAGCGAAGAGGCGAGTTCCAGGAAGAAATCGCGGAGAAGGAGACATTATAGCTAGACCAAGTGCTTTATTAGCCTGACGTTTCGGATGCTCACTCGAATCTATCGTCAGAGACTGAGCCACATAAGGGTAGTGGACTGGTCAGGGGGAAAGTCCAGAGTCTAAATGACACGGATTGTCCCTTTGTTTGATAGCCGCCTCTCCAATGCGGGGCAAGGATTTTCGATGGTGACTTTTTCCGGAGGCAGATTTTCTCGGAATCGATCAATTTTCTATTTTCCATTCTAGAGGGAGAATATTCTGACTGTCTACCTTCTACACCCAGTGCATCACTGAAGACTTAGAGACCTGGATACTTGAAGTACAGTGGTTGTTTCCCGCGGCATTCTTTTCTCTTAAAAACACCCAGGAGATTTGAAGCTAGTTGTGACTATCGTCAGGCATTTAACTGCGTGCGCGCTCGTCATCGTACCAGCATTTTTTTGACAGCGGACTCCTCAAGTAACATTACTGAATGCAACTTCCGGTCGGGCCATTTCCGTACGTCCAAAGGCACTTGCGTGAACATTTCACCAATGTCTTGTAGAATGAGCTGCACTGATGACTCACTCCTGTTTGACCGCCTTGTTTGAAGCAAAGCACTTGTCACAGTGCACGACCCAGTTGGACAAGACAAGGGATTATTTATAATTCGCACGCTTAGAAGACGTGTCGTAGTAGTTCTTTGACAGAGCACATCGACTCGAGTATCCTTACAGCCTCCAGTGAGAATTACTAGACTGCATCTGCATTCGAAGCACGGATTATGACGTACTTCCTCTGAGCAATAACTTGAAGGACGAGTGAGTCTTGGTGGTAGGACATCAGCTCACTTGACCGCCAAGTCGACCTACCCCCCGGTCCAAGCGGCCGTTCATTGTCAATGTCAGATCAACGAGGAAGGCCAGTACGCAAATGGCCCTAATTTCCCCCTTTGGTTGGTATTCGCCTCCGTGATGCCGAGAAAGGAGTTCCGGAGATGGGTTTTTCAGAATGGAGAAATGTTCTAGATGAAGGGGGGCGGGGTTTGAACCACTTTTCATGTTAGAGTAAGTCTTTTCTCAACCTTATCCCTTCTGTACTGAACATCACTGAAGGCTTAGGAACGTGAGCCCTTCCAGCGCAAACATTATTTCGTACGGTCTGCGTTTTTCAGCGGAACATGCGGGCGATTTGCAGATACAAGTGTGTAATTATTTACCGTACTGACAACACAGGTGCTAGCTAAAAGCCCACACACGCGTGTTTCGCCAACCTTGTGCCGCTGCCTGACGCAGCTTCGAGGGGTTCGGCTCATCAGTGGGTCCCCCAGCCTTCCCCATGTGTTTTCTGGTATATAAACTCCAGGTTCATCTTTCCTTGTTTAATTTCCGAGGAAATTAATGCACGAACTTGGAGTAAGACTTTCGGGACAGACCTTTTCAGACACGGTCCAAAATTTGATATGAATATTTGGGCTAAAATCCATCAGCTACTGCGGAATAACCGCGTGTTGTTCTTGTTGTTGTTAAATCTCCTCTGCACTCTGTGAACTTCTTTAATGACACTAGGGAGTGCAACTTCCGGTCGGGCCATTTCCGGGCGTCCGAAAGCATTTATGTGAGCATTTCACAAATGTCTGGCAAAATGAGGTGGCCCTGGTGACTCACCGCCCATCTGTTTGCTTTCTTGCAAGAAAACACTTGTCACACATACACACATAGCCCGGCACAATATCTGACCCGGATTCATCCCTAGGCCGTGCGCTTATTGGGGTGGCTGCGGACTTAGTGAACCCTGGAAAAAAATGGAACTCGCTTGTCCAGACCGGGCCATCTTAGTGCCTATTGTTTAATTATTTTGGGCTGTCTGACAAGTTTTTACAGTACTTTTCTTAAACGCATTTTTTCATTGTCTGTTTCGCATATACTAGTCAAAAGTACTTTCCTGATCTACAAAACCACTGCCGCCGTTTTTCCTGCAGTGAGTGACCGATCGCATGAAATGTTGGCCGAAATTCTGAAATGCGCTTTTGACTGGGAAGGATTACTTAGGTAGGGTTGTAATATTGATCACCCTGCGCTACAGTTCTATAATATTTTGGACTGGCCAGGATGTCGGCTTTTGAATGCACTTCTTTTTGACCTGCAAAAACGGCGCTCGATGAAAAATGGCTACTTGAGTAGCATGCATTTTTGTATTTATTCTCGATGGTCATATAAATTCAGATATATTTTATGTAAAACATGCCCAAACTATACTTTATTCTACTCGTCTGGTAGAAAATCCCATTGTCTTCCCATTTTGTGCTCAGGGAAAGGATATCTTTCGGTTTTAAAAGCTTTTTAAGCATGGGATTTTTTAAGATCATGCAATATCCATTCCTACAGCATCCTACCTGTCCGTTTACCAATGTCCCTCATGAAATGTAGTCCTCATGCATTGCGACATTTTATTAACGCTGTATGCTATCTTCTTAAAGGCATAGGGGAATATATTGAAGCGGACAGACATGAACCAGATTGTTTTAATAGGCAGGAGCGCTACGTTTGCGAGCAGAGGTGCCTGATGTCTGGACACTGTCTGTTTTTCTTTTTTTCCTTTTCCAGTCGAGGTGCGCGAAGAAAACAACCCTCCCTCCCCAGTGGCAGCTTCCAAATCCACCTTCCCCGGATAATTGTGAAGTTAGCGTTTTATTGGATTATTGTATTCCCCTTTTTTCTCCACGTTCTACTTATCGTGTGCCTAAAGATTGATATTCCACGATGAATGTTTTGGGAGCCGACCTGGACGATACGCAGATAGGGCGGAATGTTCCAGACCCAGACGTTCCGTTCCAGGCAACCCATAAGGATACGGGTGAGACTGCGACCGCCGAACGCCCATCGAGGTCGGCCGTTACAATATGATTTTCCTAACGCGGAAAGCATGCACTTTGTAGACTGAAATCGCTAAACGCTGATCTGGCCCAAAATTATTGGGGAATTTGGAAACTTTTTTCAAAACCTAAATATGTCATTTCTTCGAGTATAAAATGTGAAGGCAATGTGATTTTCTACCAAAAGAGTAGAAGAAAGCATATTTTTGTGTATGTTTTCTATAAAATTTATTTGAACTTATAAGACCATCAAAGTCAATGTGAAAAATGCATGCTACTCAAGTAGTCATTTTTTACCGAGTATGGTTTTCGCGGGAGGTCGAAAAGAAGTGCATTCAAAAGCTGACATCCTGGCCAGTCCGAAATATTATGTGATTATGCGGTAAGATAATCAATACTACAATCCCACCTTAGTAATCCTTCCCAGTCGAAAGCGTATTTCAGAATTTCGGCCAGCGCTTCACTCACTGTATGGCAAAATGAGCACTATTAACGCCTCACTGCGTAGAGGCAAAATTTCGGGTAGGACACAGGGCTAGGTGCTCCCTGGAATTTGGCGTAAGACCCCCCCCCCCCCGTAATTCCGGTGAGAGGGGGGGGGGGCTACCTGCTTCCGTGTTCAACCTTGCTTCTTAGCGCCAATGACTGTATGATGGCGGAATTTTTGTACTGCGCAAACAAACCGACAGCAGTAGTGAGGCGCCGGTGCTTGTCGTCTTTCGAGAAAACACGCGACACTGTGCTTTCGAACTTTTCTCACCGAATTCAGGTGATTGAGGATGGTTTGGCGATGTCAGTGCAGATTTTCTGCCAGTGCGCTACTGGTTTTCCAGTCATTTTTAATTTTCCGGTCCTCATTGAATCCAGTCGGCCGTTCGGAGCGAAGAGCATCTTTGATTCTGAGCATTTCAGCTTGGAAGTTGGTGAAGCAGTATTAAACGGTTCTCTGAAACACAGCGTCCTCTCCGCTCACAGCACGCGTGTCATCAGCAGCTTTGAAACCTTGAATTAGTGTGGAGAGAAGCTGGGGCCGAAAATGCTCGCTTTTCTCCAGTTGCCATCTTAATACTTAAGCCTACAATCAAGGCGCATTGAGTAGTACACAAACAGTAGAAAAAATGCCACAGTAAAGCAAATTTGTAAAAGGCGCATCTTAAAAAAATCGCAAATTTATCACACGGCCCACTTTAACTCAGTTCACCCGTCTCGGCGAGGTTTGATCCTGCAGCCCCACCTGAGTGACATAATATGGTTACCTCTCTAAAAAAAGTTTTCGTAATTGCTAATGCGCTGAATTTACAAATACCATGTCTTTGCATCTTTCTCGCCATTTTAATCCACCGAGTGACTGTACGACGGGGGGAGGAGTGCTTATACGCCAGCATCGGTCAAGTAGACTTGCCAATGGAATTGTTCTGACGGTGTGGAATTCCGTCGGTTCCACTACAGTGGCCGTGCACCGCAAATTATCACGCGGTACCTTCACTGGCCTACCAGTTGTGATTTCACACCCCATATCATCTTAATCCGGCAGGTGGCTGTGTCGGGGGCGGGGGGGGGGGGGGGGGGAGTATGCACGCACCACCTTCATTCGCTTCCCTGCGCGTGCGTCGAGCTCTGCTAGCGCTCTCTTTCCCTTTCTAATCCAGCTAATGGCTAAGTTAGAGATATTAATTAAAATTATTTTAGTAAGCTGGCCATATGGTATCAGTCAAGTGGGGTTGCAGAACCAAACCTCGTCGCCGTTTTTTCTATGAGTAATTTATCCTGCCGCTTTTGAGTATGTGTTGTGAGGGTTTACGAATGCACAACATTGTGCGAAGGGTAAGTGAACATGATATTCTTATTTATTCTGTCGCTCTTTGGTCCTTATCGAAATTGACATAACGACTGCCATAATCGATACCCGGATCGCCGGAGTCTAACTTTGTGTTCTGACAGAGAGGCCTGCACTCTGAATGGGCAGAAAGCTTTTTCAAAGCTAAACCTCAATATGAGATAGTTCGACTGTCGTTGCCGACGATGTCCACAACAAGGCGAGAGCAGGGACGGCGACTTGTGCGTTGATTAGTTTATAATAATAGTAGACTTGCACAGCGTCTACCGCACTCTCTCCTCTCCCCCTCCCCCCACCTGCACCCCGTGTCAAGACAGAGTCAAGGAGACCGGAGGCGGGTGAGAGTGCAGGTGGAGGGCACGGTCGAGACCGCACCTTAGCATTCCACTCCACACCCCCCGGTCCACACAGCAAATGACCAGGATTTTAACCAACAAAAAAGGATGGCTGGCACGGGCAGAGCCGCACCTAGGCGTGCCGCCACACCTGGCTTGAATCCCACAGAGTGTTAGTGCCATAGATGTTACATTAGGAAGGGGCTATTGCAGCCTGACTCTTAGACCACCAGCCGGCCACTTCACACAAACACACAACACTGGGCCGACTGTGAGGACTCTTTCTTCCCATTCCCAGGCCCTAGTCACTGTCCGCGCCGGACAGGTGCGGGGAATGGACGCAGCTAAATCTTAATACGGCATGGGTAATAAGTACTTCAAGGAATTTCGAGTGTAAACCAGTTGATGATTAAGTCCTTCAGCTGTAGATGTCGAATCCGATGAACTTAACAACTGAGTCCCTTCTCCTGTCTTGCGTTTATTGAGAGAACATATTCAGTAGGCTACAACTTACTGTCCAGAGAGACCTTAAAGAGCGTCAAGAGAATTTATGATCTTACAGTAATGTTCCCACAGCGCCTGTAGAAATACGCTGCTTCAAGAGGCTTTTCAAGCAGATGAGATCAACAGGTCTTCACTTATCTGGCATAACCAGACTTAAGACTGTTAGGGCACTATGACAGATAGTTCGTTCCCGCTGTTACGCCACGCTCAAATAGGCTGTAGAAAATATCTTAGCCGAACGCAGCCAGTGGGCATGCCGATGTTCCACCGGTGTGCAGAGTGTCGCAGAGAAATCGCTGGATTTACGGCATCGGTTAGTTTTGTTACGTGGAAAAAAGTCGAGTTTGACAAAATGATTAAAACTCAGTACCGCTCTGCGGTGGTGAGCAAGTTGGTAGTGCCTCTAATTACCTAAGTTAAATCTCCTGTAATCTGCCTTCACGGACGGCAGTGTAACTGAGAGGGGTGTCATCTTGCAATCCAGACCTCCCTGCTTCTTGTTATAAGCCTGTCCGACGCACGACCTTTGACCGGCATGTTCGCTGCGGCCGAGCCCCGACCTTTCCGTGGCCGACCGCTAGCGGGCTCACGTGACCTCGGTCGCCGTCGCGACCGTCGTGGCTGCGGCAGAATCGGCGTGTCTGTCGTCCCCCCTCTCCTCCCCGTCGTCATAGGGCGGGCTGAGTCGTTGTCGCCGCGTGTGAAAATGAAGCTTAGGCCCTTGGCCGCGTCGGTGAGCGGATGTTTCATGATGACCGCATGGATGCCTCCCCCTCTCAGCGGGCGTCACCCATTGGACTGGCATGCCTGTTTGCTGCAGCTTTCTCCTTAAGGGACACATCGGGCGATCTGGCTGGCCCCGTCCTGCCGGTATCCCTGATAGCATTGTTAGCGCTCGGCCGCATCGAGGCGTGTCGCCTTTGATCTACACTGCGGTCTTCTGATGTGGGGGTAACAATGTCCTTCCTGGTTACTTATGTCGTCGACCCTGGCCGGAATGATTGGGTCCCTGTGCGTACTGAATGAAACTGCAAGGTTTACTGACGGGCAGGGAGGCCTATGCGCTTTTGGATGCCGGATGGTTCAAGAAGCTCGTTAACAGCATGGACGATAGACTGGTTAAGTAAGACGGGAGCCTTTGCAAGAGGGTAGGCATTGACCGTAAAGGCCACTACTGAGGAGCAACCTCACCTAATCGCAGATGCTCTGTCCTGCGGCCCACTCGACTGACATCAGTTCGGAGAAACGTGCGTCCGGACAGTCGCAGCGGTCCCTGCCCCACTTGAAAATGCTATCCCTCGACCATGTTCACCGACGATGTCCACCGTGTGCTCCACGACAGGGTGAGAGTAGGAATGTTGATTTGCGCGTGAATTGTAGACTTGCGCAGCATCTACCGCACTTCCTCCTCCACCCCCACCAAGATCCGGTGTCAAGACAGAGCCCAGAAGACCGGTGGCGGGGCTAGGTAGCAGGTGACTGGCACGGCGTAAATCCGCGTCTAGGCGTACCGCCACAACGTACACTGACTAGGATTTTATACCGCAACAAAAATAGGGAACGGTACGGACTTCGGTTGACGCAGCGTGAGCCTGGAACCGGCGTGTCACTACATCCCAGTGTTGACATTTCTTGTGGGTGCACTTTCCGATAACTCCTGCCGGACTCCAATCTAGCCCTTTTGCCGGCCCGGCGCATCTACCGCGTGGCCCGTCCTAGGCGCAATACGGGCCACTAGACACCCTACGCCTCGGGTCATGCTCTCCACAAACCTACTAAAGCGGCTGACGCCTCAATCTGACTCTCTTTCAGGCATGAATTAAGGTAGTCAGCACGCGCCCTGGTCTCACTTACTTCTGGTGCCTTCTATCTTATCCTCATGGTCGCGGTCTGACTTGATGATTGGAACGACCCAAGGCACAGCTAATATTCCGACCCGCTACGACTCAATAATCGATCGTGGTCAGCTTGAGTGCAGAGGCAATTCTACAGAATTGAACGTAAGTACAATTGACCAAAAATTTTGAGGAATGTTTTGACCCTATCGGCTTCTTCATTTGGTTCGGTTGAGATATCTTCCCGACAGATTCCGCATTCAGACCGATGAGTCACGAGAGCATGTCAAAGTGACAACGAGAAGATTCATGCATCAAAAGTCACGGAGACAGCGGCTGCTGCCGCCGTCAGCCATCCGTCAATGCTGCCATTCACGGCGCAACGGGAATGCAGGCGCCTGAGCTTTGTCTGGTAGCGACCAGTCTTTGAGAGCAGAAATATCGATCGGTGCCACTGTGTCGCCAAGTCGGGAGGCTGGGTCATACAGGAGGCATGCAGTGAACTGATGGGGGGGGGAGGCGTTGGGTAGCCGCCACCACGTCGAGGGACCGCCATAAGCGGGGCGTTCGTGTTGGAGGTTGTGTTGCTGGGTGGTGGCTGTAGGATCGATTGTAGTCGGCATGAGTGCAAAGAAAATTGTACAGGGTGAAACACAGGCACCATTGATCAAACGCTTTCAGGAGTGCGTTCGTTCTGTCTTTACATCCGTATGGCACAACAGAGGTCTCGGCTGGCCCTATGCAATTTGCAAATGTTTCTATGGAGTAGAAAGTGCAGCCCTTGAGTCTGGTTAATTCATTGTTCCGTCCACCATTCGCATTGCCTGTTCGGTGGTAGAAACCGCTCACTAGTTAAACATTTTCTATGTATACACAACTTCCAGATGTCTCTGACCGTCATATCTGTTGAAGTCTGATATTTCTTTAAGTAGGGAATTCTTAAGCCTTCTCGCCCCTAGGGGGCCTAGCACAAGCATGTCATCAGTGTAACCCATAGCCAAACCGCATTAGGTTGTGACTCATAGGTAGTCTGTCGTGGTGTGCCGAATAAAGCCCTCTATCGGGTACTTGTGGATTCCTAGCGAACATCATAGGTGGGGCAAGTGTTGAGGTTGCCCGGCTCACAACAACATCGTGCTCGCACAGAATAGGAATAAGAATAAGAAGAAGAAGAAGAAGAAGAAGAGGAAGAAGAAGAAGAAGAAGAAGAGGAAGAAGAAGAAGAAGAAGAAGAAGAAGAAGAAGAAGAAGAAGTGATCACTGGAACTTGAAGTTTGTTGGCTTGATGTTTCGGATTCTCACTCGAACCCATCATCAGAGACGGTTGCAAATAAGGGCAGTGGAGGCACAAAGTCTGCAGTATCTATAGTACGTAGCTGCCGTGGGGCCACATGAGTACTGTAATTAACAGCTGGGGGGTCACAATTGATGCGATGATGGTTTGTCAGCCCGCGTCCGAGTCGTTAATTGCCGAAATTTCGTCATCCGTGTTGGACGTTGGCGTGATGATTACTCCGAGTCCGAGACGTCAAGTCAATAAACTTCTTGTTCCAGTGGTCGCATCTTCTGAACTGCCTCCTGGAACTCGCCTGTTCGCTTCTATTGCACTCGCACATCAGAGTTGTGTGAGGTAAGCCCCATAGGACGACCATTCCTAAATTGGGGAGTAGAAATGTCTAACGAAAGTGTGTGAACGGCGTTGACCAGAGGCACGTGAAGGCCGTGCCGGTTATTAACCAATAAGCGAGCAGTGCACGCGTGAAATTTCCGACACAGGTGTGTGGGTAGGCAGGCACGACTTTCCACCGTCAAGTCCGAGCATGGCGCCCGCGGCCACTGCGATGTGCTACCACAAAGGTATATAAGGAATTATGTTCTGTGTAAATTATTCCCGATTGTGCAGTGAATCAAGGGTGACGGGGGGTTTGACTATCCCAGGTGACGATATGCCCCACGTGCGCCACGGAATGGGCCTAGCAAAGGTGACTCTGACGCTGACTAATTTATGGCGAGGCAGACTTGCGCAGCATCCACCACACACACACACACACCATGTTCCAAAAGCGAAACAGTGTCAGAATGGTCGGTGATTGGGCGGACATAGTGGTTGACCAATAGATACAGGCTTTCTACGCGTCACACACGGTTTTGGGCTCACATGTGTAAAAGAGCCATGCAGTCAGCACTGAGAAGGAGCCATTGCAGCCTAACTCTCGGTAATCCAGTGGCTTTAAAATATACTGAGTGAACGACCTCATGAAATGTTGACCGAAATTCTGAAATGCGTTTCCGGCTAGGAAGGTTTATTTAGGATGCAATATTGAGGCATAACCCTATAGTATTTCAGACTCGCCAGGATGTCGGCGTTTGAATGCAGTTCTTTCGACATTCTACAGGAATCACGCTCAGTAACAATGACTACTTAAGTAGTATGCTTTTCCACATTGATTTCGAGGGTCTTATAAATTCAACTGTATTTTATGAAGAAGATGCACAGAAATATGCTTTATTCTACTCGTTCGGTAGAAAATCACATCGTCTTCATATTTTGTATCCTAAGAAATGTTATCTTTCGGTTTTGAAAAAGTTTCCAATTATGAGATTTTTAAGATTGCGCGATGTCCATGCATACAGCATCGCACATGTATGCTTACTACTGCTTCTCATGAAATTTGCAACATAGTCCGCATCCATTGCAGAATTTTATGAATTCTATATCATATTTTTTAAAGACCTAGGGGAATACATGATTTTCCTTACACGGAAAGCATGCCCCTTGTAGCCTGGAATTGCTGGAGGCTAATGAAACGGCTGATCTGGCTCGAAGATTTTCAGGAATTAGGAAACTTTTTCAAAACCTAAAAACAAACTTTTTCGGGTATGAAATGGGATGACGCTGTGATTTTCTTCCAAAAGAGTAAAAGGAAGCATATTTTTGCGCCCCTTTTCTATAAAATATATTTGAATTTATAAGACCATCGACGGTCGATGTGAAAATGTATGCTACTTAAGTACTTATTTTTACCGAGCGCGCTTTTTACAAGAGGTCGAAAAGAAGTGCATTCAAAAGTTGACATCCTGGCGAGTCCGAATTACCATAGGATTTTATCGCAAGATAATCAATATTACAACACCACCTAAGTAATCTTCCCTAGTCGAAAACGAATTTCAGAATGTTGACCAAGATTTCATGAGATCGGTCACTCAATGTATGTCTCTCTCTTTCAAGAATAAATGGTTCGTTTCTGAAATCGGTCAGTATTTTACGACCAAACTCATAAGATGCAGTTGAAGAAGGAGACATGATCTCTGAGACAAGAGCTTTATTAGCCTGACGTTTCAGATTCCTGATCGAACCCATCATCAGAGACAAAAGCAGATACGGGTAGTTCATGCATAAGAGGCTGCAGTATTTATAGGATGCAGTCGTCATGCTACCACATACCTATGAATATTCACGGCTACCCCCACCCTCCTTCATCAGGGATCGTTGCACGTGGTGTGATGGCCGACATTCGCGTCGTTAATTGCTACAATTTCATCACGTGCGTTGCATGTTGCTGTGATGATTGCTCGGCCATCTGATCCACCGACACTGGCGTTGGGAAAAGTGTCCAGCTGTGCGCTCCCCGCGTGACTAATTACTCCGCCTACGCGAAGTCTCACCATCGAGTATGGAAGGGAAGGGTCATTGCACTTGTTAATGGACTGGGGGCCAGCTAACCATGACTCAAGCAGCTCCTGGCTCACGCGGTTGTCACCTCTTGCGAGAATTTCGGCCTCGTCAAATTGGAATGTGTGGCCGGAACCCGTCAAATGAGCCGCAACCTGAGAGCTGGCGTCATTTCTCCGCACCGCTGCAGCGTGTTCGACCATTCGCGTTCGGAGCTGTCTTCCGGTTTCTCCGACGTAGTTTCTTTGTCCGCAACTCTTTCAGATTCGATAAACGACTCCAGACGTTTCTCGCCGTGGCAGCGGATCTTTCGATTTCATTAACTGACGCCTGATGGTTGCCTCCTGTCTGTGTGCAACTCCAACCCAAAGTGGTGCGAGAAGGCAGCCAACAGCTTCCGAAACATTATTGACATGCGGAAGCGCTCGACAAAATTTGGTGTCCATGCGGCTAGCCCTTTCGTCCCTTTTGCGTATGCATCGGTTGACAAAGTTGGGCGGGTAGCCATTGGCTTTGAAGACCTGTCGGAGGTATTGTAGTTCGGCAGTCTTGTTTTCCGGCTCATTGCAGTGCGTTTCAACATGCTAATAGAGCGTCCTTACACGACTGCGTTTGTGGCTGATCGGGTGGTTACTGTTGAAGTTCAGTACCTGCATCGTATTTGTCGCTTTCGTGAACACTTTGGTCTTTGGGCCACCACAATCTTTGCGGCATACGAGGGCATCCAGGAAGGCCAGCTGGTTGTTTTCTTCCCCCTCCATCGTAAGTTGAGTGTCCGGAAGGACGGCGTTGAGATGTTCTTTGAATGTCAGCACCTGATCCCCTTCGATGACGACGAAGGTATCATCCACATACCGGGCCCAGAACTTCGGTTTGGGATGTTGGAAGACCAGCGACTCTAACCGTTGCAGGACCGCCTCGGCGATGAATCCCGAAATCGGCGAACCCATTGGTGTGCCCTTCACCTGTTCGTAGATTGTCCCGTCGAACGCGAAGTACGTCCTGAGACAGAGCTGAAGGAGCTGAAGGATTTGGTCGTGTCCAAGACGATTCTCCGTTTCATCGTATTTGCTTTGTAGAAGCAGCTCGATTGTCTCGATCGTTAGGTCCTGGGGAATAGGAGGACTATGCCTCATGATAGCCAGTATTACAACCCCACCTAAGTAATCCCTCCTCGTTAAAAGCGTATTTCAGAATTTCGGCCAACATTTCGTGAGATCGGTCCGACTTATCCCGCCAACTGGCAACCTTCCAAGCTGTGACTCCCGGCACGTGAGGATTTGTTATAGTGAGAGTGTATTCCTTACTGACGGTTGCACGCTCCCTGGGGAAGACTCAACACGGCCAGGTTTGATTAAGTCACAGACAGCTCGACTGTCGGGAAAAACGATGTCCACCGTGTGCCCTAGAGATTGACGGGTGTAGGGTCAGTGACTGATGCGTAAACTCGCGATGCAGCCACCGCTCTCTCTCTCTCTCTCTCTCTCTCTCTCTCTCTCTCTCTCTCTCTCCCTCTCTCTTCTCCCACCCACATGAGCCCGGTTTCAAGACAGAATCAAAAAGACCGGAGGCGGGACCGGGTCTAGTGTCTGAAAGAGCTAAACAGTCGTACACAGATGTCCCACAGGACAGCTGTGTGCTCCACAGCAAGGTAGAGCAGGGACGGTGACTTAAGCGTGAATTAGCTTATAGTGAAAGCGGACTTACGCAGCATCTACCTTACCCACTCTTCCCCCCACCTGCACCCAGTGTCAAGACAGAGGCCGGGGGGGGGGGGGACAGGTGGATGGCACGGTCGAGCCCGCACCCTGACGTTATATTTCACACCCGCTGGTCCACACAGAAAATGACCAGGATCTTAACCAGCAGCAAAAGGGTGGTTGGCGCGGCCGAGGCCGTACCTAGGCGTGACGTCACACCCGGCTCGGACCCCAACAGAGTGGGAATGCCATACAGGCCAAATGAAGAGGGCGCCATTGCAGCCTTACTCTCCGTCCTGAGAGAATGATCGAGATATCCCCTCAGTTGGCTATCTTCTGGTTCGCGTCTCTTAACGCACCGTGATAGTTTAAAGCCGCGCCAGACTGCTTATAGTGGGGGAATATGCAATGAGCGCCGACTTCTTCTCTCTCCCAGACATCAGTCAACTGCCCGTGCCAGCCAGTGGCAGGCTGTCATGACTATCAAAAATGACAACATGGAGTTTGAGAGGCAAAATCCACCAAACTGAGAGGGAGAACTGTTGATGGCGGAGGTCGAATTCTCACTTGCCCTCCTTCTTCGGTACAGCGGAACAATTTCGGATGGTTAAGGATGAGCGCCCTGTCGGTAGCGTCAAAAGATCTGAGACTGCCATAATTCTTGCCCCATGATGTGTCGTCCATCGTGTAGATCGGTGAAATTCTAACGACCCTCCAATCATAGAAAACGTCCTACTTTGCCAATTTGATTCATAAGAGAGAGAAAGGGGGAGGATTTCGTTTTATTTTGATAATGTAGATTCTAACCTTTTAGCAAAATAGGGGCTCCATTCACTGTGGACATAATATAAGTTAAACAATTACTTAAGATTCCACAATGCTTA